CAAAGTTAGTGTGTTTAGTTAACTTTAGCTTCTCACTGGTGACGTGTGCTCGGCAAATACTCCTCCTACGATGAAAATGTGGAAGGAGAGAATGATGAACAATGCTGCATGTTGGGGAGGGTAACAATTCGTGTATCATTCCTTCATTTGTTTTTCAAAATAAAACCAAAAATAAGAAAATGAAAAAACTAATATTTTCTTCAGTATTTGTCTCCAAAACCAAAATCATTTCCCATTTACATGACTTAACGGACTTGCTCCGCATACAGAACCAGGACTAAACCAGGATTAAGCCAGGTCTAAACCAGAACTAAACCAGGTCTAAACCAGGTCTAAACCAGGACTAAACCAGGTCTAAACCAGGATTAAGCCAGGTCTAAACCAGGACTAAACCAGGTCTAAACCAGGTCTAAACCAGGACTAAACCAGGTCTAAACCAGGATTAAGCCAGGTCTAAACCAGGACTAAACCAGGTCTAAACCAGGTCTAAACCAGGACTAAGCCAGGTCTAAACCAGGTCTAAACCAGGACAAAACCAGGTCTAAACCAGGTCTGGTCCTGGTCTCAGTCCTGGTCTAGTCCCAGTCTCAGTTCTGGTCTGATCCCAGTTTCAGTTCTAAACCAGGACTAAACCAGGAGTCAGGACCAGACAGGGACAGGACCAGAGGTGGATGATCAGGATTGAGACCACGACCAGACCGGGACTGTGACCGGGACTGAGACTGGTTTAATCCTGGTAGACCTGGTTTAGGCCTGGTTTAGACCTGTTTTAGTCCTGGTTCAGTCTTGGTCCAATCCAGCATTGCAGTTTAAGCCACAGAAACAGGAAACGTTATCCGTTTTTTTCATTATTCATTTAAACACATCTGGTTTTTTTTTTGTTTTTTTTATGTTGATTTTGGAGACAAATAATGAAAAATAGCTGTTTTTTTTTTCTTTTTTTTTCTTTTTGGTTTTATTTTGAAAAGCAAATGAACAAATGAAACACAGATTATTTTGAGTTGATTTGATATCTGCAATTGTCAAAATTTGTTATTTTTATTAACTTACACCTCACTGTTTTGTATTTGTACATTTTTTTGGTTTGTTTTTTTGTTTTTATTTTTAATTATATATTTGAAAAAACTAGAGACGCCCTGACAGAATGCTCCAGATTCTACCTGTCTGGCTCTCACACACAACAGCTCCACAGCCAAACATGGTGCAACAATACTGTGACAAGTGCATCTCTGCGCCGTGGCAATCTCATCTACTTAAAGTGCTATTTATTCAACACAGCGCCTTTTAATGTCTAATCTTGGCAACAGCGCATGAAATCTAGCACCTTAATTCCATTAGCTCGTTACTCCAATAAGTCCTAATAATCTACAGCTAACCGCAACACATAAACTCAGCCTGCACCTACCAGACTCTGTGGCTTTTTAATAACACTAAGAGCCTCCAAATGGTGATTCATTTTTTATTTAGCAAAACAACTTGCCACTTTTAACTTATGCTTAATATGCAGCACGACGCTCACCACAAGACAATGCAGACAATAAATGTAAATGTCTGATAACAGGGAGGGTGCTCTGTGGTTTGTGGGGTGCTTTCTGGTTGGTGAGGTGCTCTCTGGTGTAGGGTTCTCTCTGGTTTGTGGGGTGCTCTCTGGTTGGTGGGTTGCTCTTTGGTTGATGGGGTGTTCTGTAGTTGGTGGGGTGCTCTGTAGTTGGTACGATGTGCTGTGATTGGTGGGGTGCTCTGTGCTTGGTAGGGTGCTCTGTGGTTGGTAGGGTGCTCTCTGGTTGGTGGGGTGCTCTCTTGTTGGTGGGGTGCTCTGTGGTTGGTGGGGTGCTCTCTGTTTGGTGGGGTGCTCTCTGGTTGGTGGGGTGCTCTCTGGTTGGTGGGGTGCTCTCTGGTTGATGGGGTGCTCAGTAGTTGGTAGGGCATGTATAGGCGGGGTAACTATGGGTATGGGTGCTCTGTGGATGCGGGCTCCTCGGCGCTGTGCTGAAAATGATTTACTGTATGTCTGGTTTGAATGGAGAGATACAGTGACAGCTGTGCCTCACTGATAGGTGGGCGACACGTTTCTTAATGTGTGATGCTTTGCCAATGGGCAATATTGCCCAAAAGTAAAACTGTGGCCAACTTTTCCACTCTGCCAACTGGTTGGTGGATGCTGTGCTGGCCAAAAGATCTATGAGATTCATCACAAAATAAGTAAGTTGAATTTTAATAACTTTACACAGTTTGATTTATTCAAGACTTGTCAGGTATAATGTTTAAGTGCATATTTACTACACAGTACAGAAACACTATGTAACTCCGCTTTTCTCTGATCAGTTCTGCTCCTCATCCACTTCTAACACCCTCTCTCCTCACTCTCTGTCTCTACACATCCATCCATCTCTCTGCTAAAGGGTCATTGTCACTGGAGAATAAAAAGGTAGATACACAGTTATAGTACACAAAATGCAGTGACATATTTAGAATAAAATAAGGTCTCTTTTGGAAACATCTATGAGAATATTAGCCTTCCAATGTCTGGTCACTTTTGATCTGTATTTGTCTTATCTGCATTGCATGGATCTAATCTTGTCCCGGCCTTTGAGCTGCACTCTCGATGTGATTAGGCTATAGGGAAATATACTGCAGCCTACTTTGATAATAAACATAAATCAAACACTGAAATGCAGATTCCTATTGGGTCAAGAGGATAGGCCAGTTTGAATTATCCAAACATTTTTAATTATGCTCCTTATTCATTTTATGGCTATTTGAACCAAGTAGAAATAATAAATTAAAAATGACTTAATATTTTTATGTGGTTGAAGGATACCTGGTCCCATCACTGAGGACGCTTCAGACCCAAGCTCCGCCCCTGCCACTGCTATAGTGAGTATTTATTTATTTTCTAAAATAAGATATTCAGAGCCTTAATCGGATTCAGAACTGAGGGAAACTCTTCTGAGTTGAATGAAAAGCCTAGAGTCAGACTGTTAGTTGTGAGAGCAGAGAATGTCACAAATGTTACAGAAGTGTACATTCCTCTACGCTGCTCCCTGTCCAGGAGCGCTCTGCTCACTCGGAGACAGAGGCCTGTTGTTCACTTTCAGCAGGTCTGAACTGGCCTCACACCGAACCCGCCCCGGTTCGACTCCGCTGAACAGGATCAGCTGAGAACCCGAGCTCTCCCTCACAATCCCCGAAACCCCGTTACCGTGGAAACCGTCTGAGCGGCGCCTTGAGGGCTGCCGTGAATGGGGTGACGTCACGACGCAGGCGCCAGAGAGTCTGCTTCAAGACACACAGCACGAGGAAAGGAGCGGTAAGGTCCGCGCGTCCCGACTCCTGTGTCTGCATCAGTGCAAAGCGCGCACGTCTGCACTGCGGGCATGACAGAGACGAAAAATAAAAAACATGGACATGCCGTAGCTCTCAATTCCTACAACAGTGGCGTGCGTAAAGATGATCCAAGCCTATAGGATGAAAATGCATGAACTGATGCCAGCGCTTCTGATGAGATTGACCAGGGCCTAGAGCATCCAGCCAAAAACTCGATAATGGGGCATTTTATTATCGCTTCTCCAGAGTAGTGAAGCTTTTGTCCATTGCGCAGATTATGCTGCGGCCATTCGTACTGAAACCGTGCGCAAAATTTAAACAAAGCGGTGAAAATATGAACTCCACGGTCTTTCTTGCACTGTTATACTAACCCACACCGCGAACGCGCATTCCAAAGTCCTCTGCCCACGGGGACAATTAGCGCAGCGTCCACTGCGCTCCCACTAGCTCCAGATGAAAGAACGAAGTGCAGCAAACAAACGGGCCATTGAGGGAACGCTACAGCGTCAGTGGGATTAAATCAACCCTTCACGTGTTCGAGCCGTGACTAAAGACAACACAACACATCAGGTGCCAAATAAGAGCATCATCTGACGCACGCCCCCGCCTCAGCCTTTGGCTACTTTAGCGTGACACAAACACGCACGACACATAAAACGTAAAAAAATAAAATAAATAAATAAATAATTTGAGTTTAAGAAATACTTTGAGCACAAGTCTTTAAGAAATAGGTTTTAGTACAAGTGTATTAAGGATAATGGACCTCTAGCTGCAGCGTGCCAAACAAACTGGACCAGTAGCCTATAACATCAGCCAACAAAAAGCCTACAGAAATGCTGTGGAATAGGTTGCACACAGTGTATTGTCATAATGTGCATGATACAGACCTGTATACAGGCTAGTTTAGTATTGTATTGTTGTAGTATGTGGCAACCTAAGCTTCTTTCTATAAACTAAAATTAGTTAACGATTTAAGATAAAATGTTTGTGGAATGTTCTGATGGTTGTGCTGTATGGAATGGGCCTAATATAATCAGGGAAAGGCTGTAAACATCATTCCTCAAAAGTTACTTTCTGATGCATATTACTTAATTATTCTCATTTCTTTACTTTCAGTGCAGTAGTATAAACACTTTGAATAAAGCCATTCTTCTTTTTATGTTGCAGTTCGTCTCTCGCGGACACCGGCGCTGCCATGAATTAGGGGTGATGAGACGCGCCTGAGCATCCTTATCATCACTACCCCACACCTCAGCTCCAGCCCGCGCTGCCACGGAGCAGCCGTGCCCTGAATAAAAGCATTTAATGCTTCGTGTATAAAGGGGCTCTCCGTTAAAGCCCGTGCGCAGTCAGCTTGTCTGTCTTCATCTTCCAGCTGCGTGCCCACACTTGGCCATACGCAATTGACAACCATGCAAACCATTAATTTTCTTGATCAGAAACAGGTAAGGGCTTAATTTTCCAAATTGCCCACCGGAGCTGCTGAAGCGCCCCTTTGGCCCAACCTCCAAATTGCGTTGTCCTTGGTAACGAATAGCAAAATAGGAGGGCTGTAGGGCGATAGCCAATAGCAGAGTGGAAAAGGTGTTGAGTGACAAACCACAAGCAGCGAACGAGCGCTTTTGTCCCGCCTCTACGGCACGTCCAGCCTGCTGCCTATTTAAGCTGCTCTGACAGCTCTCTAATCCAGTCTGAACGCTGTTCGTCTGGCAGAAATAGGACAAAAAGAAAACGCGCTCTATATCTTTACTCTGACGAAATGAAAGCAATAAGCCCCGTGCGGTCTTTGCGAAAAAACAATGGGAATTTTTCAGAATTGGGGATCTCCCGGAGCAAGACCCCAGTGGACGACCCCCTGAGTCTGCTGTACAACATGAACGACTGCTACTCCAAACTGAAGGAGCTGGTGCCGAGTATTCCCCAGAACAAGAGTGTGAGCAGGATGGAGATCCTCCAGCACGTTATTGACTACATCCTGGACCTGCAGATCGCCCTGGACTCGAGTGTGGTGCTCTCGCGAACTCGGACCCCCCTGACCACACTCAACACAGACATCAGCATCTTGTCATTACAGGTAAATCCACTCCATGCTGTCTTTGTGCGTCTGCGTCTTTATATGCCCATATCAAACAGAGACAAAGCTGCCCGTGTGGTGAAATGCCAGAAAAGTAAGCAGTGTAAACATGCGTGTTTGTTTGTTTGCTTGCAGTCCCCGGAGTTGCCATCAGAGCTGACGGCAGATGACAGGCGGACTCTGCATCGTTAAAGCGGTAAGTAGGTTGTGCGTGTGTATGTCTGCTGCTGCTGCATTCTGTCCAGGGCTCGGAACACACAGCCTGTCCACCCGCCTGTCCATCAGTCTGCTGCAAATGCCCTTCCCAGACGCTCCATTTGTCCGCTCCACTCCACAATATGTTTCCCACGACATTTGGAATAAATCTATAAACACAAAATACGGAGGCATGTCCTGTGTGTATTGCGGCTCCAGTGTCGCCACTGTACTATGCCCTCTCGTCTATAATGAAGAGCATCTGCAACAGGGGAAATAATGGCTGTTTGGATTGCTGCTGCTATGATGTCTGCACATAATTGGTACAAGAAGTGGGTAGGCGCCAGCTGAACGGCAATTACGCTGATTCTTCCCCAGATTGTAGGCTCAAGTTGTGCGAGACGGACCCGTATGTGTGTGCGCGCTCTGTGTATTCCTACATCTGGAGCGCAGCGTTTGCACAGTATTGGGAGTGTTTTGTTAAATGTTAAAAGTGTGGCTTCCTCCCTGGCGCCACTCTGTCCGGATCCCTGCCCTGTTTGCACTTTCTAAACACGCCTCTCTTTCTCAATCTCTTGCAGGTGTTCGGAGGACGCAGGGACACACAGCAGGCCGGAGCTGGACTCTACCCTCCGCTCACTCCACCAGCCCTACTCAGCCCCTTCTCAAAGCCCTGGGTGGATTTGCATTTTTTTGATTTCGTCTTGGCGCAAGAGACTTTTGCTTAAAATGGGACAATCTTACGTGACGTGTTTTGTGTTTGGACACTTCATTATTATTTAATTTAAGAGTATATTATTTGCGGCACCTTTCTGGAAAACGGAAGGCGTGTATTATCCCAAGTGTGGGAAACGGAAGACTGTGGCAAGGATTATTCTCCCCAAGCCCCTTGTTCAAAGCCTTGGCTTTTCTGCGGAGATGGGGATGGAACACTGGTTTGTAGCTGTAAAAAGTTGAGTCTTGTAAGAACCGTTGGCACGTTGTTTTTGAGAAACAAGTCAAATGAAAATTGAGACCTTGAACTCTTCTCCGGAGTTGATTCTGTACAGTTGCAGACGTTTCTGCAAAAGTTTAATGATGTACCTAATTATGGCGAAACTTTTTATAAAAGTAATGTAAATTGTACATTTTTTTTTATAGAAAATAAACCAAAAACGCAATGCAAATTTGTCTTATTTTGTGCCAGTATCCTCAAATAGATGGTGCGTAAAATTATATTTCAATTCGTCGGCTTTAAATGGTTTATGCGCAAGCGGAGGACACAATGTTGTCACATCAAATGGGCCTAAGGACTATATGAAATCAGATGTCCCTAGGCACCGAAATTTAAAGACATAAGATCCTGAAGTCGCCTCTTTTACTTTCCCACACGGCTGTCTGAAGAAAATCGGATTAGGTGGCAGAGAACGGTGAGCACGGCCTGGTTGGTGGAGATGTACCAGCCAGGACACGCTTTGGGTTTAACTGTGTGAGAAGTGGTATCAAAAACTCAGTTTAGTTGGTGCAACCTGTAACCTATTTTTTAGTAAAATTCCTATTCACCTCTTCATCAGCCCATTTCCATTGACAGCCATCTTCTACATTTTCCAACAGACATGCTGACTCTCATTTTGAAACAGATCCTGGATGTCAAGTGATTGAAACAGAAACTTGTCTTGGAAGCCTTTTCCCCGTACAGTAGCCATCTATTTTTATTTTTATTTTTTTTAACTCTTTACACACGAGTCGATATCAATAGAAAGTCTTCACCGAAGATCGAGGTATCAGCAAGTGACTGTCACAAGGCCGTCAGGTTTACGTGGAAAGTGCGCCACCTTCCGGAAAACATACACTCTTAACGGACAGGTCATGAGATATAGCTTTGAAATTAAGATTGTGGATTGAATATGAAGTCTCTTTAATAAACATCGAGGAGGCTTAAAATTCAACAGCCACAACATTTATTGATTCACAGAAAGACATGAAAATGCCTCATGCAAGAACACTTGTTCAATCACAGTAGGAAGTCCGGAACACCACAAATCACAACACAGTACGTCTTTTTCTCAAATAAGAACATTAGGACAAAAGGCACATGACCACACACTTCTAATACTGACATCTATCTGCACGTTTTAGTTTGTTGCACAATAAGGAAGTTAAGAACCACTTCAGGTAGTTCAAAGGCGAGAGATCCAAAGTAGAGTGTTTAAATAAGTTTGGTTTTAGAAAGCTACATCACACAACAGTTCCCACTTCTGAGGCAGCCAACTACAGCCTTCTAATTCTATTTCGTAACACCAACACAACAATCTAAAGATGTATTCTAATCAGCTATAGAGATGGATAATTTCACATTAAGTGATAAAAACTTAGACTAAAAACAAACCCAAGTTGTTATTACACATGTATTCAGTGCAAATTAATATGCAGGAAATTTCCTCTGAACCTGGAGTCAGCTGTCATACCTAACACACTTAAAAATCTAATACAAAGACTAAATATAAGGAGACAGTTTAGTCATCTATCTGAAGCCCTACTGAGTTTGGTCAGATCTGCTTCAGAGCACACTCTCCCGCTCGTCTCCCAAGCTTATGGTCTGCAGATTGCGGTTGTGGTGCACGGTTACGGTGGTGGTGGCGTTGCCCGGGGTAATGAGGATGGTCGGTGGGTCATTGCTGTGAGTCTGGTGGCTGTTGTTAGCGTTGCTGTTGGTTGGTGGTGTGTCGGTGCTGTTGTTGTTCAGGTTGGAGATGGAGTCGGAGGGCCAGTCTGCGTCGGGGCTGCTGGCCATCAGGCTGGCCTCGGAGGCAGCCTCGGAGCAGATGGACATGCGGGCCACGGTGCTCTCCGGCAGCCTACTCGGACCCATTTTCACCAGGCCCTCCAGCTCCATCAGGTTGGCTTTGGATGGGTCCACCTCCTCCAGAGAGCGGTCAGAGGAGCTGTCGCTGGAGCGCATCCCGGAGTCAGACGAGTCCTTCTTGTCCAGGAGGATGTCGGAGAGGAAAGTGGGTTTGTTGAGCAGCCCGGTGGCCCTGTGTGAAGCTCCTCCTTTTTCTTTGTGCAGCAGAGGTGTGGTGTTGTCCTCCTCTGGTCCAGAGTCCTCGTCACTGGGCAGCTTCTGGTACGAGTCCCCCTTCACCCTTGATGAGGAGCTGTGGTCCAGCTTCTCATCCTCCTCACTGATGGGGTCCAACTGTTGGATATCATTCCCAGAGAAGTCGGGGGCATCACATCCTTTGGAGCCTGGTTTAGGGAAGGGCTTGCGGCAATCATGGTCCAAGCCCTCCTTGGCCTGAAAAAACAGGAGTAAGAACTTAAATATACAGCGTCTTGTGAGATGTGAACATCAAGAGGAGAAAAAACTAATACATTTTCCATAGTTTCAAGGTAAAATTTATACACAAATAATAAAAATAATTCCTCTTTTAAAGGTCATTTGAAAAGGCACACTCTTTTCTTGCATCTTATTTGAATTGTACAGTTTTGCTCGACACCACTTATAAGTGTAGCAGTGTGTGTTCAAATGCTTCCAGTTTTTTGTGAAACCCAAAAACTCACTGTGTACTCACTGTTTTTTCATCGGTGCGCTCGGCCCCAGACCCTTCCAGCTGTCCCACCTGAGAGATATATTCCCTGTAGGCGTCGTTGTACTTGGCCTGCTGCCGATCACTCAGTTTGCAGAAGTCCACGGAGGATTCCTGTGAGGCGAGGCTGGACATGCTTGATGTGCGGTAATTTGTCACCTGTGTAAATAATAATTTCAAATATATGTAAACCTTCAAATAAATACAGTTGTAAAAGTCCATTTTACTTTCATTAAGTCACTAAGGGCTCGTTTCATGAGACTAACCGGCCAGTGGGAGCTGCTGTAATTGTAGCCGCTGCTCTGACGAGGGGGTTCATCCAGACCCGCAGCGCTCAACTCCTCAAAGCTCAGGTTCAGGCTAAAGGCGCGGGGCTCTGGAGGCTCTCGGGCAGTGGAGGGGGGCACCACACTGCTGCCTTGTTCACTGGGGGCCCGGGACTCCTCCAGAAGCAGGGCCTGGCTCTCAGCGAGCCTCTGCTCCACCACCTGCACAGGCAGAGCATCACATTAAGTGGGGTGACCAGGTAGATCTGAGAATTGGTCACATACATAATAATGACCAAAAAAAATCTATATGTGTCACCTTTTTGAGACTGAAAGTGAAGCTTGTATAATTTTGAAATTAAATCAATTGCAGTTTGCTTGGTCCAATTTCAGGTGTGCACACTCCCTGAATGAACACTTTACTTGTACTTGCGCGTCTTGTTTTCCCCAATGTTATAAATATTATGCAGCTGGACTTCTTTATTTCACATGCAACAGACTCATAGATAACAGACACACAAAGTGTGTGTGTGTCACATGTGGGAGTCATTTCCACAGCAGCTCCAGCTCAACACTAACAAGAGCCTTCCTTGTACCACACAGAAAACAATGTGCTCCCCAGCATGTCATACCAGCACAGTGTCACAGTCTGACATTAAGCTGTACAACTACTGCAGCTTTAGAAAGTCGCTATTACCTTGTTCATACCCTGGCAACACAAAATCAAAAGGAGAATGAGCACCCACCATGCCCCTAAAGAGCTGCCAGTCGCCAAAGTTCATTCCCATCTCCTTCTTCAGCTCGTCCAGGTTACAATACATCAGCACACGGCCGTTGATATTAGCCTGTAGGAGACAAAAGAAACAGTTATATCCAGAAGACAGACCGACGTGAGGCTTTATGAATGTCAGAGGAGAGAACCTTCTTGATGGTGGCACTGTACTGAGACAGCATACTGGGATCAATTCCATCAATGAGTTTGATTCGCTCACAGACAGCCTCTGTGCTAAGAGAGCTGAGTGTTGCTCCAGGTGATACCTGCACAAATAAACATACAGCTTTACACATATTTGGTTTTAATGATTTGAGTCAAGTATGCTACTCGCAACATCAAACTGTTAGCCTTTTCTGTTAAAGACAGACTGATTTCATTAGGGCAAAATCAATAGCAGTGGGTTCAGAGCAGGACTGTGGCACGAGGCAGTCCCCACAGTAACTGTCAGAGTGTGAGTAAACGTGCTGCCAGCCTTTCCAAATACCCCCATACCTGCTTTAGTTCTTTAGCTTAGTGCAAACAAACATACTAAAAACTGAGCTTTGTATTCTGAGGACTCAAAGGCCTGGTACAACGGAATGGGAGACAGAGCACCCATGGGTGTACACTCTGACTCCTCCACTCTGCTCAGATATCTGCCATCAGCTCGTCTAACATCATTAAGACATGCCGTGGTACTAAGCTCTCAGCTTTGTTTCAGCTTTGGGGAAAATAGAGGAGCTTAGTCGGACTTTGTGTGGATATTAGACAGAAACTAACAGCGCGTTAGATGTGGGACAAGACATAAGGTGTCAACTTGTGCACAGTGAGTTCAGGGATAAAGGCAGGTGCTCTGTGTTAACTATGACATTCCATTCTACAGTTAGTATTTTACCCTATACAGACATGCTCTTGGCTACCATTTCCATGTTACAACTTCATGCTGTGGAATGAAGATATGACAGCTGGTTTAAGATGGTGGAGATGAACAATACATAGAACCAAACGAGTACCTTCTTCACTTTGTAAGCCTGGGACTTTAAAGGCTTCAAGGGGAGAGAAAAAACAAAATCACATCATATCACCCAAAAGGTCCCATACATCTCTCCCAAACAGATTTACAGCTCTGTAGTCTTGTAACAGTCGACAAGTTGAATTAAGATACTTGTCCTCATTATGTACAAAGTAATGCTCTTTGTAAACACCTGTAATTATATGTAATGACAATGTATGTTCTGTTTAGGTTTAGACAAGGGTTTATTTAGGTATTTATAGGTTTTTAACTTATTACAGATGGACGGATGCTATAAGCTTATGTCTACTGGTCGTTACATAGTGCGTTACTGTGTAGTGTCAAGAGTAGTTTAAAAGAGAGCCTCTTAAGCTTAGCACACATGCACTGTCCCTTAGCCTCTCTCCTGCTGACACAAACTCAAACATTAGTCACCCTCAGTGTGATAGGGTGTAACTGCAGCAGGTTGAGGGCTGGGTGGGGGCGGGTGGGGAGTTGGTGGTAGTGGTTAGTGCCAGGGAGGAGATAAGCTCCCCCGCGCTGGGCTCATGGTCCAGCT